CCTCCCTCCTCCTAGAAGTGCTGAAAATCCAAACGAAGAAGAAACCAGTGGAGCTGAGAGGCTGCTCAGATGAAGAGAGTGAAGTGAGGAGTTTCCTTCAGTGTCTGCCCTACATCTCACAACTCAAGTTTAATCCAAGGTTTGCAGGTTTATTTCTCATGTAATATATTTGAATAATGAATTGGCTTGAAGTAGTTCTTTTACTCCATAAACTTGCATAAACTTTTTTTTTTCCAAACTAATTGCATAGGTCATAGGTTCCAATAAGGCATGTGCCAGAATAAACAGTTTATGATAAGTATCGAAACATTTATCACAGACATGCAGTCAAGCCAGCTGGTGATGCTAAATTTCCACTAGGTGTTAAAGTATATGTCTGTGGGTGTGCCATGTGATGGTCTGCCGATCTATCTAGGGTTTTTCCAGCGTTATGCCCAATGAGCACTGGAATAGGCTTCAACACCCCCCCATGACCCAGGAGGATAAGGGGCTTGGATGATGAGTGAGAGAGTGAGGGCTATTAGCAGGACTGGAGTTGAGAACTCTGCCATAGAGCTTTGAGACCTTTACCAGGAGCTGTGAAGCTACTCCAACATACAATACAGCATGGAACATACTACAAGCAGCAGTACTTTATCAACATATAAATGGCATATAGTTCACTGTATAATATAATCCTGATGTACATGCCACACCAGTCATTATATAACACTGCTTAATATGGAAACTTTTATTAGTAGCCTCTGTTTATCAAAAAACATCAACAAGAATGCTAATTTCTTTTAGCAGGGAAATGAGATTCTCCATTATATAATAGCGTCAAGCAAATGACGGTGGAGTTTTTTCCATATTATGTCCAATACTACACTTCTTCTAGTGTCTAAACACGGATGTTGGACAGACAAAGCTTGAAATAGACATTCGGGAAACATTTTTTTTCTTTGGATTCCAGTTTTACTGTGAATTATTTATTGAATACTAGAACTTAAAAGCTAACTCTCAAAATTACTGGATGCATCTGTTAGCCCATTAGCAGACAAGTAAGTCCTTGAATAAGAATACACTTGCAGTTTGTGACAGCAAACATGCATGTATTCAAGAGATGATTGAAGAGCATTTTTTTCCTTCCTGAGCTGGGTGGGATAGAGGTTTTCACCTGTTTTGAGTGAGAAAGGTTCTGTCTGTTCATCCTTCTGCCATGCTGAGAATGTTGTGATTGAGCCTCTGCTCAGTGGAGGAGCTGTATCATGTGATCAGAGTGTGAGAGCTCAGTAGGAGTTTATGGAATCAGAGCAGATCTGCATCTGTAAAAATCTCCAGTGAAACTGCATGTTTGACTAAATCGCAGTGATGGTAGAGCCGGGCGATATGGCCAAAAACGTTATCACGATAAACAAAATTCATATCGTTCAATATCGATACATATCGCAATAAATGTCAAATCATGATTTCTTTCACGTTTGAAGGCTCATTTTGCTCCTGGGTGGTGGGATTGTGGTTGTGGTTTTAAACTATCACTTATGGTCCGATCATGACAAACACTCGGCAAACAGTGGAACATTTCACAAATCTGTCTTGGGACAGTGGGAGAAAGTTTCTGAGCTGTTTTTATCAGCTTGAAAAGCACAGCTGCAATTTTTGTAATAGTCATGATTTAAGAAAGAAAACAGATTATTTTTAGCTGTCTGGTGACGAGCGCTCGGCTACCCCGTTACAAATGCTAAACAAGTGGCCAACAACAGTGCTAAACTCTTTAGTTTCTCAACAACGTCAACTCGGTTTGGTAGGTCACTGCTGTCACTCCTACCACATCCATGTCAGAGCATATCACAGTATTCAGACACCAGCTAGCGACGACTGGGTTTCTCTATGCTATCGTAGTAGTTTAAGGGGTGAACCGCAGCATATCTGACGTTCGCTGTGTAAAAGCATTATCTGCAGTGTGAATCTCTCGCAACAGACAAACAGAGTCCTCCTTTTAGGTATGGTTAAACTGAAAGCGGTGATTTTGTGTCTTGTTTGATCTACCGTATCATCAATTCACCGTGTTGTGCTGGAGCGCTGCTTCAAGTTAGCCAGCAGCTAAAAACAGCTAGCCTGGAAAGATAGCGCTCTCCCGCTCTCCAATGCCTCACAGCTTCCTCAGTTTACTTTCGAACATGAACCCACTTCTTTCTTTCACTTTCGTTGCTCGAGAATGCACTAATACTAAAATATGATGGTTTGGCGCTGTAACACGGCGCTGCAGACGTGATTTAACACCGCTAAAGTTGTTAGGATGCACGGAAAGAGGTGAGTTTGCTGTAGGACAGTACAGTTACACCACTGACCTCGTCACTCACACTCGGTCACAGGAGAACAGATCGCCGGTCGCTCCACTCAAACAGGGACTGTATAACTCCGCATTTCAGCCGTTGCTAAAGTATATTTGGCGACCCTTTTTTTACTCGTGGCCCCCTTCCTCTCTAATCAAGTCGAAAAATTTGGAAGTGTGCCCTCTCCTGGCGACAGCAGAGTAGTGTCGCTTTCCTTGCAGTAGAAAACGCCACCAGGGGTTTCGCTAAAACATGGAAGTGTGAGAATGGTGTATTATATCGAACATTTATCGAACCCGTCTTATCGCTCTATCGAGGAAAAGTTATATCGCAATACTTATCGTTATCGTTTTATCTCCCAGCCCTAAGTGATGGTATTTCAAAGTGTCCTTAATAACATTAACGGGCGCATTTAATATTGTGGTACATCGAATTACTGAATATCGGCAACATGTCTAGTTCTAATACACTCCACTACTATATGCAAACTTTACAATAAGTATACTGTGTCTTGACTTGTTATCCAGTTTTGAACAACTAGTTCATTAGTATAATTAAATTTTTAACCCAAAGCAAAATGATAGGTCACTTCTAGTCACTTCTAACTTCAGAACGATTTAAGCTACAGACATGATACACATATCAGGACATTCAGCAGACCCGCCCCTAACTAGCTAATGTGACGTCATCGAGCTGTGACATCAGCATCAGTGAGTAATTCGGCTCGGAAAATTACCCAAAATCCTAATATTATTGCTCTGCTTTTTGGCCTTCATATTCCAACAAAGGGTTAAAACAGCGACATGATTCACACATCAGATCACTCATCAGACTCTGCCCTCACAATCCACTCGCTACTATTTTATCTCTGCTTTTAGCCTTCAAATTATAAGCAAAGGGTTAAAAATAGCATCATGATTCACACACCAGAGCACTGAGAAACCTGAGAACCACTAGCCAGAGTGAGAGAAACCAGCTCTAACATCCCACAACCCAGAAATACAGCACAAACACACAGCCGGCTCACTGTAAAATCTGCTATTAGATCTCTGCTTTAGCCTTCTTTTGGCAACAAAAGGGTTAAAACAGCGATGTAATTCACACATCACGTTGACCATCAGGACTTAACCTGTGTGTCCAGAGTGACTTTCTGAAGTTTTAGCAAAGATCCAATCAGTAATTCAGTTCAGAAAACCACCGGTCAGATCCTGCGTTTACGTGCGTTTACATGCCCAGTTTCAATCCCCACAGCAACATGTTCGGTATTAAACTTTCTCTCGTGTCTCAAACAGTCCTCTGATTGGCTCAGACACTGAGTTTAATGCTGATCATCAGAAATTTACAGCTAAATACTCTTTAAAAATGCTAAATATTCTTTAACATTTTTTTTAATGCAGTCACACTTCTAAAACTGAGGCTAAAGGCTAGCCATGTGGTGTGTCCATGCTTCTGAACTGGGAGGGTGGGGGCGGGGATACAATGTCCCAATTCAACACACTGAGTGCACTTTCTGTCTTTCCCTCAAAATCACACAAACAGGCCCTAAAACAAATTTTAACAGATAAATAACAATAAATATGACAAATATTATTAAAAATTAATAATGTCTAGCTCTGTCTTTCAGTTTACATTGACTTTAAGTATTAAAAATATCTGATATTAAATATGCAACTCAACTTGTAATTCAGATCTCTATAAGCAAAAAATTACAAAATTTTGCTGGCACTGAGTAAATTTTTGATCAAAAATGACCTAAATTCATAAAGATATCAAATTTCTGTTAGGATTTACCTGTGAAACAATGGCATATCTGAGTAGCCCAGGGTCTCCTGAAAATAACAATATATGGCATGTGTGACTGTCTCATGTGAATACTTTATAATTCCAATTGTAACTGTAGTTGACTCACAATACCCCGCAAAAAATTCCCAAAATTCTGGGGTTCTAAGGTTTAAGTAACTAAGCATAATTGCAATTTTATTAGTGTTCTATGTGCCACAGCCAATAAACCCTGTTTTTTTTTTGTTTTTTTTTTTAATTTGTTGATTTTTTTAACTTTCCCTAATACGTTATTGGGAGCAGAGACTAAGGCCCAATCCCATTTCACCCCTTGCCCCTACCACTTAGCCCATAACCCTCTGTTTTGCGTGTTCACGTCTAGGGTTAGGGTGTCCCAGTTTTTGTTGAGATTGAGCAGTAGGGCGAAGTGTTAGGGCTACATGAACTTTTCCCTTCTCTACTATCATTGCAGACAGGACGGGTCACCGACAGAGCAGCGCTAGTAGCCTGTTAAAAAAGCGTAATTTGAGGGTTGTCCCATTTCGTAGGTTCGTAGGTAAGATTTCAGGTAGAGGTAAAAAAAGAAATTGGATTGGGCTTAAGATACAAAACGGTCCATCACCCAAGGGTCCACGCCACCCACTGTTCATGCTAGTGAAATATTATGGTCTGTGAACCTGAGCTCAGCACTGAACCCCAAACGGCTCCAGCACTGCTGTAGCTTTCTGTTTGTTCTCTTCATTTGGCATGGCTTTTAAAAAGACAAAGAAATTATAAATGTCTCCACTAAAGCTTGGAGTGTTTTGGTTTAAATATTTCATGTTTATTTGTTAATGAAAAATCAAAATGCAGCTGAATTTGAGCAATGTTTTATATTATGTCAATTGTTCTGACTTCAAATTTAATATGGCCTTTTTTAGGTTTTTCCTCTATGATGATACTGAAGAGGTTAATAAGTTCCTGGTGATTCTCTTCCATCAAGCAGCAGAGAGTGAGAGACAGACAGGAGAGAAGACACTGAAGCTGTTAACATCAGCGTGCACTTACAGCTCTTTCCCTTATGGAGGTACAGAAATCTACATACAGAGTGCTTTCCTGCTGGATCTGTTCTCACATGTGAAGCAGTATGAGACTGAAACAGGCAGGAGTGTTCTTCCAGCATTACTGCCAGTTTACCAGTCAGTTCCTGCAGAGTGGATCTGCAGAGTGAGAAAAGCCTCCCTCCTCCTAGAAGTGCTGAAACTCCAAACAGAGAAGAAACCAGTGGAGCTGTGGGGCTGGTCCGATGACGAGAGTGAAGCGAGGAGCTTCCTTCAGTGTTTGCCCTACATCTCACAACTCAGGTTTGAGCTAAATTTCACTGATTTATTAGACTTGCAGTATAATTAGTTCTATGTGCACCACAGCTGATAAATCCTGTTGTTTTATAATTTGTTGAGATTTCTTACCTTCCCTAAACAGTACCAGGAGCAGAGAGTATAAGGAACTGTCCATCATGGTGAACATGAAGGGAAAATTATCCCAGTTTTGCTATATTTGACCGTTTAGATGAGTACTGAGTGTCTAAATTAAGTGTCTCAACACAGGGGAGGATATAGTAATTTGGGGCTCTTGGTAAAACACAGGAATGGAGCCCCCTAGATGCACATTTTAAATTAGTTTAGACCCTGTTAGATTGTTGTAAGAATATTGTAAGATTATTATTGTTATTATTATTTTTTTATTAAGGGAAATTATCTCACTATATTGGCATTAACGCTAGCATTATGTAGGTCTGCTGAGCCTGTGCAGCACTCTGACTGGAAAAATTATATTAGCTTTGGGAGTGTGCACTTTTTTCTTGAAATTTTAGCTGCAGAAATGATTGTTAATTCTCTGAAACATTTGTCTGAACATGAATCAACCTGAAGTAATTGTTATTTATTCCATTTTCCATTTTCTGCATTTTAAAATTTTGCTGTAAACCAAGTTTTGCAAACTAAACACATACTGATCCAAATATTATTATTTTTGGAGTCCTAGTGAATTTTTTATGAATACCCTTTTAATCAGTAATCGATAGATTATGTATTGACTAAAAAGAGAATATTGATTTCTCTCACAAAGAGGTAATATTGGAAAAAGAATAGGCTACAGGCTGTGTGCATGGAAAATGCTAGCTTTAGTGAACTTTTGAGCTCACATGGAAAGTTATATGAGATGAACCTGTAGGGACAGAACGGCCAGTACGAGCAGAATGCAACCAGTTTTTTAAAAAAAAAAGAGTATTATATACAGTTTGATTTAAGGGTGAATAAGAAAAGTAAAGAATTTGAGTGTAATGGGGACTAAAATAGAATGGACACTTTCTGATAAGGGCGGAGCGATCGTCTCATCACCTCAAGAACTGCATAAAAAGGGTTGTTCTGAAGCTGTCCGTGCATTTGCTTTCCAGAAACCATTGCCACTTGGTGCTCGAATAAAAACAGGGACCTTTTCCTTTTTTCCGCAAGAACTCAGCATCTGAAGTCTTTTTTGATTCTTTTTGAGAACTTAGAATTAAGATAGTTATTGGTGTAGGTGTACAGTAAGAGTTAGTGATTCAACCATATGTCTAGGCCCTGAGCTGTAGGAATAGCTCTGGGTCGTGACACTAGGTTTAGATACTCCCCGCTACTGTACAGAAAATTTTATACGAAGTGTACAGTTCAGTGTGTAAATACTTGATGTACAATTTTAAGTAACTAGTAGTTCAGTGGTGCTGATAGCTACTGAGTACTGAATTAAAGGTTCAGTTAAGGCTGAGTACAGAGTTAAACTCATTATCAGAGAGTTACAGTTATAAGACTTTTCTCCTCACACTAAGTGCTGCTACCGTGAACCAGAGCTCAGGCCTGAACCTCAAACTGCTCCAGCACTGCTGCAGATTTCTGATCTATTTCCTCTTTTCATTTAGCATGACTTTCATAAAGAGAAAGAAATTATAAATGTGTCCGGTAAAGCTTGATGTGTGTTTGTTTAAATATCATGTTTGTTTATGGAAAATCAAAATCCACCTGAATTTTAGCAAAACTTTGTATTACATCAATTGTTCTGACTTCATATTTAATATGGCCTTTTTTAGGTTTTCCCTCTATGATGATGCTGAAGAGGTTAATAAGTTCCTGGTGAATCTGTTCCATCAAGCAGCAGAGAGTGAGAGACAGACTGGAGAGAAGACACTGGAGCTGTTAACGTCAGTGTGCAGTTACAGCTCTTTCCCTTATGGAGATACAGACAGTTACATACAGATTGAATTCCTGCTGGATCTGTACTTACATGTGAAGAAGTATGAAACTGAAACAGGCAGGACTGTTCTTCCAGCATTACTGCCAGTTTACCAGTCAGTTCCACAGGAGTGGACCGTAGACCTCTCAGAGAGAAAAACCTCCCTCCTCCTAGAAGTGCTGAAACTCCAAACAGAGAAGAAACCAGTGGAGCTGAGAGGCTGGTCAGATGAAGAGAGTGAAGTGAGGAGTTTCCTTCATTGTCTGCCCTACATCTCACAACTCAGGTTTGAGCTTAATGTTGCAGATTTATTAGACTTGCAATATAATTAGTACTCTGTGCAGCACAGCTGATAAATCCTGTTTTATAATTTGTTGGAATTTCTTCCCTTCCCTAAACATTACTGGAGACTATCAGACACAAAGTTGTCCATCATGATGATCATGAATGAAAAATATTCTGATTCATTTATTGGGACAGTTCAGCTGAGTACTGAATGTTTTAACCAAGTGTCTCAACATGTAAACTGCAGATTTAAAATTACTTTTAATTTGCTGAAATTCCTTGTCTCAACAGTTTGACTTTAATATGCAGTTATATCATAAATTATTTCATTGTGACCATTTCTGGAGTCATAGCTTCCAAGGGTCCCTGCTACTGCATCTAAACCTTTAAACAAATTCTTATTTTTCAGAATCGGAGAGCTGATAATTTAGTGGCGCTGATAGCAAGTAGTAAATTAATGGATCAGTTAAAGCTTAGTGCAGTTTTAAACTGACTCTGTATCAGAGAGCTACAGTTCTAAGATTTTTCTCCTCACACTGAGTGCTGCTACTGTGAACATGAACCCCAAAGTGCTCCAGCAATGCTGCAGATTTCTGATATTTTTCCTGCTGTTATTTAAAATAGCCTTGAAAAAGAGAAAAACAATAAAAACAGTTCTGAATGTCTCATCCTAGACTGAACAAAAGTGTGGTTAAACTACTTATTCCTTAAAGCTGGCTGCATTTTTTAAATATTACTAGTTGTTGCATGTCATGTATTGTTTGTATATGTATTAAGTGTTTACCTAGAAAACAAAATCTTAAATGCAATTTATTTGATCTGAAATTCTTGAATTTGTATTATTGTCTTGTTCTTTAATGGCATGCTCCAGAATCATGTGTAATATATTGTTTATTGTTTTTGTTTTTTTTTTCAGATTTCATCAGTTTGATATACATGTAGAGTTTGTGATGTATCTGTTCCATCAAGCAGCAGAGAGTGACAGACAGACAGGAGAGAAGACACTGAAGCTGTTAACATCAGCGTGCACTTACAGCTCTTTCCCTTATGGAGGTACAGAGAGTTATAGACAGAGTGATTTCCTGCTGGATCTGTACTCACATATGAAGCAGTATGAAGCTGAAACAGGCAGGAATGTTCTTCCAGCATTACTGCAAGTTTACCAGTCAGCTCCTGCAGAGTGGATCATAAACCACTCAGAGAGGAAAACCTCCCTCCTCCTAGAAGTGCTGAAACTCCAAACAGTTAAGAAACCAGTGGAGCTGTGGGGCTGGTCAGATGAAGAGAGTGAAGTGAGGAGTTTCCTTCAGTGTTTACCCTTCATCTCACAACTCAGGTTTGAGCTAAATGTTGCAGATTAATTAGACTTGCAGTAATTATACAAATAATTAGAATGCTCTGTGCACCACGGCTGGTAAACCCTGGTGTTTTATATTCCGTGTCTGCCCTATATCTCACTTCTGAGGTTTGTCCTAAATATTATTTCCTATTTTTTTGTTCTTGTCTAAATGTTGTTGAGCAGAGGGTATACATCATAGAAACCATTACACATTGGGCCATTCATCTTAAATTGATTTTCTTGTCTGAAATTCCTTAGGATTTGTATTTCTAGTTTCTTCCAGCTTTGATTTTCTGCGTTCTTGAACTTAAAAAATTGTGAATTAATCTAAATGTTACATTTTTAAATACTGCAGACATGCCTCAACAATAAGCAAAATTCCATTCAAATAAGTGATAACAGGAGGAGAAAATGCAGACAATGACAGTGAGAACAAGGAATCCATGAAAAAAGAGAGAGAAACAAAACTAAAGAACTAGACCAAGACCAGTAGCATAAAACAAAAGCTAATTTAAGAAACTAAGAAACAATAAGAAATAAAGAAGCTAAGTTGAAAACTAGGAAACAATGACCACTGGTGGGATGTTTGATACTGAGACATCAAAGCTCATTTCACTATTGCCGGGTGCGCTCCAGTATTCACCCATCACATGGGCCAGTTGTGTCATGTGGACGTGATTTCCATTCCATTTCATAAGCAGCACATGATATGGCATAAGCAGCTTTTGTCACCCAAAACCTTCAGCTCAGTCAGTCAAGTTGCATCAAATAATGCAGTAAGTCATGCAAACCCTGGCAAAGACAGAATTAAGATCTACTTTCTGAATCCAACGTGATGTTTCTTCTTCAATAAGGACAGCTACAACAGTTTCTGGTGACAGGCAGGTATAAGTGATGCCGACACTCAGTTTAAATGGGTAGGTAGGCCCCCATAGAAGTGCTGGAGCGTGCCCAAAAATTACACTGCTCTGAAACAGTGTGTTCAATATCTCCCATATCCAATAACCTAAAAGATGTTAAACCACCAGTCTTATATTTGTAATAATAATGAGTAAGTAAGTAAGTAAGTAAGTAATAAATTAATAGGAAGAAAACATCTGTGCGAACAGTAACATTTTTGCAGAAGTTTAGCTTCTGAACAAAATTACCAGAAGCTCAAAATGTACACTGAAGTTTTCTTATGCACATGTCTAAAACCAGGAAATAAATTAATGCGAATTAAATTAATCTCAATATTATTGCTGCTGTCATTTCTGCAAACCACCATATGGCACTGGGCTTTTCTGTTTTCTAGCACAATCAGGGCAAAGTCTAAAAAGTACATCTCTAACAGTCACTAGGATAAAAATGCAAGGTAGAAATGAATAAACAGTGCTAAGGCAAATGCAAGCTGTGTCCAAAACAGCATACTACCATATTAATAGTACACCAAAAACAATACACCACCATTAGAAAGGCGAAACTGTGACAATGCCCATAAGAAAGAGAAGGGTCGAAACTGTGACAATGCCCATAGAGAAGGGTCGAAACTGTGACAATGCCCATAGAGAAGGGTTGAAACTTTGACAATGCCCATATGTGCAATCACAAAAAAATCATAGACTTCAAACATTGGCTATTTTATTTAATTTATGTGAAATGTTATGTTCCTTGTGCCAATGCTGCAACACAAGCCCAAAACATGGTCAATCCTCCTCCGTTGGAGAGATGTTCTTTTCATGAAATTCGGTACCTTTTTGTCTTTGCTCATTGCGGCCAAAAAGTTCTATTTTAGCTTCATTAGTACACAGGACTTGTTTCCAAAATGTATCAGGCTTGTTTAGATGTTCCTTTGCAAACTTCTGACACAGAAATTTATGTTGAGGACACAGCAAAGGTTTTTTCTGATGACTTTTCCATGAAGGTCATGTTTATGCGGGTGTCGCTCCACAGTAGAACAGTGCACCACCACTCAGGAGTCTGCTAAATCTTCCTGAGGGTCTTTTGCAGTCAAAAAGGGGGTTTGATTTGTATTTCTAGCAATGCTATGAGCAGTTTTCTCAGACATTTTCTTGGTGTTTCAGACCTCAACTTCACCTCTGTTGTACCTGTTAGCTGCCATTTCTTAATTACGTTACAAACTGAGGAAATAGTTACCTTCTATATAGCTACCTTCTTCTTATAGCCTTCTCCTGCTTTGTGGGCATCAATTATTTAAATTTTCAGAGTGCTAGGCAGCTGCTTAGAGGAGCACATGGCTGCTGATTGCTGGGACAAGGTTGGAGGAGTCAGAGTATTTATAAAGCTTTGAAATTTGCATCATCTGGCCTTTTCTAACAATGACTGTGAACAAGCCACAGTCCTAACAAGCTAGTAAGATCTGAGACCTTGGTAAAAGTTATCTGAGAGCTGAAAACTCTTGGGGTACCCAAACTTTTGCATGGTGGTTCTTTCCTTTTTTTCACTCTAAAATAATACACTTATCTTGCTTAAAATAAGAAAAGAATGTTTTCACTTTATGCCTTTTGGAGATCAGTTTATCTTCTACTCACGTAACTGTTCACAGTTACAGAAATTTTGATCAGGAGTGCCCAAACCTTTAAATACTACTGTAATTGATAAAAAAGGTACTTAATTTTATTCACATTTAACTTTTTTATCTTTTGTTTCAGATATGCAGAATATCTTGTCCCATATTTAAGTGAAGTGGTTGTTGACTATGCAGAAGAGACAGAATTACTGACCGCCTTGCTTGCTGCTATGAAGTTTACCTTCACTGTAAATGGGGTTTTGTCCAGTGAAAAGTGTAGGGCTGTAGGGAAAGCACTGGGGCTCTCACCCTCCCGACTCAGCCTCACTCTAAAGCCTCAAGCCATCTCTCTCAGAGGAGCCACACTTCTTTTCAGACACATTACACACCTACATAAACTCAGGTAGGTAGAACTTGAATTCTTAGTGCACAAAGATGTAAACTCACCAGCGTAACAGGTTATTAAAAACATACGCAATATATACACAATATATAAACACGCTAGTCTTCCTTCTGTGTCTTCAAAAATTTACACTTGAAATTTTCCAAATTATAATTTATGAATATTTGAATTTCTTATATAAATGCATTTATCCTCATTTACTGTTAAATGAGGATATGTTATTTCATACCATCATTTCCCCACTAATCATGATTTACTGTTAAAAATGTAATTGAGTAAAACAGGACATAGTTAATTACATAGATACATACACAGTACAGAGGTAGTTCAGTATTCAGTATTCGCTCTCACTTTTCATACACTTTTGCAGCAAAACTAAAAATAAGAAATAGAAAAAATAAGGTTAAATATGAGTGCAGTTACCCAATGTTTGAGCAAGAGACGGACCGTGTGTGCATGCCGCTCCTTCATCAGCTGACCCCCCCTCCCCCCACCCCCACCTCCAGCATTGTGGTGCGGCAGAAAACTTTAGAGAAAAAAAAATACTACAAGATATTTAAATTACCTCACGCATGTTAACGTGAACAACATTTGTCCGCATAAAAAAACTAAAATAAATGATTATTTAATAACCGGTCTAAAAGCTGAAAGTGTAACCAAACATCAGACAGTGTTTAGAGGTGGGCAAAAGTTACACTTTAATCAAAGATTATGGAGAAAGAAGACTTTTGTCTTAATGTGACCAAGAACAAGAACTAACAAGGTGAAAAAAGGTCCATTTTGATTTCAGGTTGACTTTAAGTCAGTGAGGTAACACATCAGTTAATATTTCACTGTCAGTAGATATGCAAAATTGCTATATCTAAAACCAGAGTGGTGTTATGACATGGGGAACAAACGGGAAATTGCATGGGGGTCCTCAAAGTTTTAGCTAACCACCTTTAGCTAAAGGTTTTCTAATTATATTAGACTTTTAAAAATATCTGACAGTGTTGACCAAAAATCAGGACATTAAATGTGAGTGGATTAAATGTTTTCCTCTTTAACACTGTAAATTTACCCCTTTCACCTAATGCTGAAAAAGAGCAATTATTTCCAGTCAAAACAGCAGTTAAGTATAAATATAAAAAGTCAATTTTTAGGATATTTCTATGATATAAGACAATGCACTTGCAAGGAAGTCAAAAAGGAAAATAAGTGAAAAAACAGGAGCTTTCAAAACTGTCCCCATCAGATAAACAGCTCTTAAAGCTTTAATCTTTGGGAGAGAGAAAACATGTAAGCTCCACTCTTACTTCAGATCTGAAAAAATCTACAGGTGTTTCTGTCCATCCTTCCACTGTGAGAAGACAACTCAACACTATGAGTCTGAAAGGATGTGTAGCCATCAAGGAGACCATACTGAGAAAAGAAAGAGACAAAAAAGAAAATTTGCAAATCAAACCAAGAAGCTGCTGGTTCTCACAACAATGGACTGACCACCTTGGAGTCCAAACCTCAACATCACTGAATATGTTTGGGATTACTCATTAAATAAATTAAATAAATGAAGGGTGGTCTCTGACGTTTGCAGAGTACTTAAGTTGTCTGTTAATTCTTTTGTTAATGTGTTTTTGTTACTGTTTATGTCAGTCTGAATGACCGTGTGGTAGGAAGAATGGCTCGAGCATTTCAAGCAGAAAGAGTTTGCATTCCATTGGTCATCGAGGAGCTGTCTGTGGTACTGACGAGAGTTTGGTCAGCTCAGAAGCTCTCCAGGATCCTGAGCAGCTTGGCTTCCCTCCTGAACTTCTGGACAGTTCAATATCTGAACCTCACTGAGTGTGAGATGGAGGCTCATTCCCTCATTGGCCTTATGTGTCATCCTGGTCCTCTGACTATCAGGTATGTTTATCGAAGGACTTGTAGGAAATTGTAAATGTAGTAAAGGTACAAAAATTAAGAATATTGTTCATCTACAAACTGTTTCTGTGTGGGTGTCTTTCCATCTGTCGGTGTTTGTAGGTTGTCTAAAGAGACTCTCCAGCAGTTTGCCATTTTGGTGTATGAAGTAAAGGATAGGACGCTAACCTGCTTCTTCCTGGAAAAGGTGGGAGGAGATCTGACTTCCTGTTCTCTCAGCTGGGAGGAGCTTATTTATTTTGTCCAAAAAGGAGTTTGTTGTGTTACTGTGAATGTCATGAAGAGCAGTATCACTTATAAACATGCCAGGGAGCTTCTGCCTTTCCTTGATAAGGTTCATTTCAAAAGGTAAGAGAGTAACATCATGTTCCATGCAGAATTTCACATTCAGAATTAGAAAAAGGAATCTACCTACCTTGTTACCTTGTACACCCGTAATCTTTTGCTCTCTATATATATAATATATAACAAGTCAACAGCATCCTGTGTCCAAAAACTGACCACTGATGAAAGACTAGAGGATGACTAACATAACTGACACAAGCTGTGCAGCACCAGATGAGCTATCATCTCCAACTTTACTCTGATTCTAATTAACAAGCTGCAAGGTAGAAGTATCTAATAGAGTGGACAGTAAGTTTACACAGCGTTTAAACACTCCAGAGATACTGCTGGGTGTGATGCTCTTGTACTAGTGCAACACTCACTAAGCTACTACTACCATGTCTGTGTCACTGCATAATTTCAGAATACTAAAATTATGCAGACAAACAGTTGGACTTGAAGATGGAGCTTTAAAGTGCAACTATATGATATGATTATCATGCTGACATATTATATTTATGGATATATGTGATGTAATCTCCACAGGCTGAGCTCCAGCATTGTGCTGTCCATCATCAGAGAGATTTATGAGACTGGCTCAGCTCACTGTGTTTCCAGCTTCTTAAATTTGATAAAGAATTGTATCAACCTGAACAGTAGAGAGCTGGACTCTGTCCACTGTGCTGCTCTGCGCTTCACCCTTCAACACTGCACAACTGTATCTCTCAGCCTGCTTTGGACCTCCATACCAGAGGGGCAGTTAGAGAGCGTTCTGCCTCTGCTCAATAGAGTTTCCCATCTCAGGTAATTCAATGCTAAAAGAGGTAAATGCCTGTTTTTATGTAATACTTTAGAAATCAGACATAGCTATCATGAATAATTACTACATGGGTGCTTGTCATTTAGCAATTGTTTTCACTGGTCTGGCATTATCATCACATGTGGTCATAATCTGACATCTGATTCCACCAAGAGTTTAGTTGTCTGACAATCAGAATATTTTTTATACTGAAGGATGTGTAAAGAGGAAAAATATAACAGAAAAAGCCTTTTTTGTATTTTAAGAGATGAAATGGTTGGTCATTGAAAAACAGTGTGCATTGTTACAAAATTTTATTTAATTATGAAAATTGGGGTTTTAATTACTTCCACTTTTGCTCAACGTTAGGTAAAATGGGGCACCTTTTGAAATTAATCTACAGTATTTAAGTCAAGATAAGCTCCCCAACAAAAAAGGAGTCACCTTACATGTTTAAGGTGGTAGCAACTTTAGGCTCCTGCAGATGGCATTACACGAGGATGATCTGGCTATAAAATACCTGCGGGGCGTGCGACTGGATTCATAGATTGAGAAGAGGTGGTACAGTGCAGTGAATGTCTTGTTCAATGTGTGGAAAATGGGTCGCAAAGCAGATGTTAATGATTGGCAAAAAGGAGTGATTGCATTTGGCCATGCCAAAGGCCATAGTGTGAAGGAAGTAGCTGAATTTACAGGTGTTTTGAAGCATATGGTCATACGGGTCTACAAGCAGTGGCAAAAATCCCAGTCTACAGGAAATTCTCATCAGAATTGTGGCCGAAAGACAAAACTGATGGACAGGGACCATCAGCGAGTTTCACAATGTGAATAAAAATCGCTTCGCTTCCAGGCAGGAATTGCTTCTAGAAGTAAATGCAGGTCCTGCATCCAATTTCTGAAAGAACATATGTAGCAGAGTGGCATGCAAGAGGCCTTTGCTCACTTCTGCTCACAAAGCTGCCCGGTTAGAGTGGGCAAAGACACAAAAATTGGACTGTTCATGACTGGAAATGTGTTATCTGGTCAGATGAATCTCGTTTCTGCCGGTGTGCGAATGATGTTAGGCGCGTTTTCATCGTGGACCTCAGGAAGCCTGCAATGAGGACTCTGTGCAAGGTGTTATTCAAGCTGGAGGAGGCTCTGTGATGTTCTGGGGTGTTTTAATTACACGGAAATGGGTGCTTTGGTTGAGGTGACAGTAAATTTGAACCACAATGCCACATTTTTTTTGTCTGGTGAGCTTATTTAATTACAGGCGCAATTATGAATGTAAATAGGTACTAATATTAGGCTATTAATGGTAACCTACTTTGCTGATGCCTTTGCGTGGTGAGGTGCAGCAAAGCCTGCAGGGACTGAAACTCAAAAGCCTAGATATTCTTTTAAGGTCTGGAGGCTTTATATTAACTATTACAGCCCTCAGGTAATAATGCACATGCTCCAGCCCTTTCAGCTCTGAATCCTGAATCATTTTGTATCCTGTCCTTTCAGTCTGCTTCCATCAAAGTGGACAAACAACCCTACCCACCATGGCATTAAAGCAGCCTTTAGTCAGAATTTGAATTTGGATTATTATGACAATAACCATGACATAAAAATTACATCAGGGAACAGGCAAGTGAAGCTGTTTACTTGGTACTTATTTTTCAACAAACCAGGGGAAAAGCCAGCTGGCTGTAACCAGTGCTAGCAAGCTAGCTATTAGCTAACTTAACCCTTTTGTTACAGGCTAATGTTAACATTAAACTGAACTTTCATTAAGCCAGTTTAGTTCATCATTGTTATTCATTCAGAACCAAATGTGTACATAATTTTTTGTTGTTGTTTAAATGGTTGGTATAGCATAGTGGATAACGCCATTTTCTTCCTGCATGGGCAAGACATGCTATACCAATAAAAGTTCTTGGGCAAGACTCCTAACACTACATTTGCCTACCTCTGTAACATACTTAAAATTGTAAATTGCTTTGAATAAGACAGTCTGCCAAATTCAATATATTGTCGCTGTCCAAAGAAAATCATGTATCTCCATTTTTGTCGATTTTTATTTTTCTGCATCACTTCAACACACCAGCTGTCCTTTATATTGTATGAAAATTTAATGATGAATTGACCGATGGAAATGCTATAAAATCACTTGGAATAAAATCTCTTTACATTAACTTGCATTAAAAGTTAAGAGTGTTTTTGTCTTGTCCTGTGAAGTTATTATTTTGGAGATGCTTGTTTTTTTTGGACAACGATGATATGTAAATATAAAAACATTTAAAGCACTGTCTCACTTCAGCCCTTTTTTTTTTAGCTGAAGTGAGACAGTGCTTTAAATGTTTTTATATTTACATATCATCGTTGTCCAAAAAAACTACTGTTAACTTTTAAAACACAAGTATTTCAGAGATTTGTGGAAACTTACAAATACACCAAAACCATGAGTACATAGACTTTATGAGGGTCCCAAAATGTGTCCCACTTTTGTTGAATTCACCCTATATTTTCATTAACCCACTGAAGTCATATTGTATAAATCAGTATAACTGTTTGTGGTTTGTTGTCAGTGTTGACAGGCTCCTGTTGCTGAGACTGCTGTACGGGTGCAGGGTCTCTGAGCCCCAGGAGAGGGCAGCAGCAACAGTGCTCTCTGCTCTGCAGAACAGACTGGACTTCTCCTGCCACATCGGCCTGGACCTGACTACACAAACAGAGGACAGCGCTCTACACCTGACCACTGAGGACTGTAGAGTCATCAGCACTGTCATTCTGAAAGCACAGAAGCACACAGAGCTCATTCTAGAGGACTGTGAAATAGAGGATGCTGGAGTGGATGTGCTCTTCTCTGCCTTGCGCACAGTCAGACTACGGTGAGACATGCATGTAGGACAGAGCTTATAAAGGTCAGAGTGACATGAACGAAATTCAGCTTTCGCTTCAAACAAAAGATTGTCAGATTTGTCCCTCTGACAGGCATTGTGACCAAATTATTTACATTTACATTTACATCATTTAGCAGACGCTCTTATCCAGAGCGACTTACAAAAAGTGCTTTGTCTATCCAGAGAAAGAATCTTCGCTAGCTACCAATAGGTTAGAGAGAAAGTCAGTCCTAAGCTCAGATACTGGTAGAATCAGAAGGTCATTGACACCTAGTGAAAAAGGGACAGAGTTAAACACAGAACAGTGCAATACAATAAAATACATAAGTGCTGTACAATACATTACAATCAATACTTAATTTAGTGCTCATTTAAGTGCTGAATAAACAGGTGTGTCTTCAGTCTGCGTTTGAAGATAGCGAGAGACTCTGCTGTACGGACAGCCAGCCAACAAATTATAGTTTGTTATCTGAAACAATGCCATTGATTTTGAAAATTGTAAGGACCGTTTGCCATGTTTAACATTTACAATGGAATTCATCCTTTATTTGAATGCCGTTGAAATTTGCAGTGAATCCAGACAGCACTGAAGAACTCCAGAAGGCTGGGACTTGACTGATTTCTTATTAGAGTATTAGAATGTGACTATATTCATAATTCTCCCCATTTCTCTTTGTTTCTATGTGTGTGTGTGTGTGTCTCTCTCTCTCTCTCTCTCTCTCTCTCTCTTTCTTTCAGCTGCAGTAAGGCTCTGCTGCTTCAGTTCCTGGCTCTTGTCCAGGTGGGGACTGAGCGTATGTTTCGCGCTGTAATTCTCTCTAAGGCCCTGGATGGAGTGATTGACCTCAGTGAGACTCGGCTGGACCTGCAGGCCTGCAGATCACTGGCACTGTTTCTGGAACACACTGAAGGCTTGTCAGAACTGGACCTCAGCCACTGCCGGCTCTCTGACCACTGCCTGGAGTTGCTTCTCCCACACCTGCATAAAATAGATGTGCTTGAGTGAGTATGCAATGTATGTGTGCTCATGTGCACCTGCATGTATTTTATTGTCTATACATACATTGATGTTTTTTTTTTTTCTTCATTTTCCAGTCTGAGTCACAATGACATTGATGACAATTTAGCAAGAAGAATCTACAGCATTGTCTCCATTTGCCACAATATACAGATAGTTTGGTAAGTGTGGTGCACAGCTGAGACTTATATATGTATATCGGCTATATACTGTATATATCTGCTTTATTAGTCCATAAACCTTACAGGTCCACTATATACAGTAATATGCAAAAGCTAGGGTGTGCCTGATCAAATTATGTTTTTGTTGATTTTCTAAGTGAAAGTACATTAACACATCATCTACAGAGAACACATTTCTAATGCACTATGCACAAATACTGTTTATTTATTTGGGATACAGAAACTGTGGCCTTTGTAAAGGTTATGGCACATTGTATATATTTAGGTTGAATTTTTTTTCCAGTGTGTTAAACTAATAAACTAAACTAACTAGCAAATAAGTAGAAATTGAGTAAAATGTATTGTATTTAAGTTAAATACATTTTAAATAAATTGTCTTTAAGTTGTTCCCTGTAGAGGGTGGGTTAACTTATATTATAACAACAACAAAAAATGTAATTTGACCAGGGATGTTCAACTTTTGCGTATAACTATAGGTGTACAGTTACAGACTGTAACCCAACTGTATCCCAAATGCATAATTTATCAGCCCCTCTCTACCTCATTCATCATTGGTCAGTTTCAACTGCAGGATCGCTTACATACTTCAGTGTTACTGCTAAGTTGAGAATGATCCACCACTTAAAAATACAGAGCCAGTAGTGACTCTGTAGTAGAGGCAGGTGATCCAACATCACATTACACTTTTGTGAGTACATTATGTGTATTATCAGTGCTGCTAGAACACTGAACAATTTAATGAATCATAAAAAAGATAGATTTAAACAAAGTTTAGAGAGCCTGTGAATAACTGGTGTACAGTAACTGCAGAAGCGGCATAGTAAAATGTAGCTGACCAGACGTCAACCCATTACACCATTATCTCTAATGTTAAACATTTATTTGTAATATATTTCATTTTTAATACACTATATGGACAAAAGTATTGGGACACCCCTCCTAATTATTAAGATCAGGTTTTTCAGCCACACGCATTGCTAACAAGTGGATTAGAATTATGCACATAGCCTTGCAGTCTCAATAGACAAACACTGACAGTAAAATGGGTCGTACTGATGAGCTCAGTGACTTTAAACATTGCCGTCATAGAATGCCACCTCTGCCACAAGTCAGTTTGTGCTATTATTGTGAAATGGAAGCACATAGGAGCAACAAAAGCTTAGCCATGGAGTGGTAGACCACGCAAACTCACAGAGTGGGGCTGCCGAGTGCTGAAGCGCACAGTTCCTATTCTCTGTGAATCGCTTACTAAAGAGTTCCAAATTGCCTCTGGAAGCAACATCAGCAAAAGAACTGCGCATTAGGAGCTTTACGAAAGGGGTTTCCATGACTGAACAGCTACACACAACCATAAGATCAAAATGCAAAATGCCAGGCATAGGGGGTTAATGCTGTAAAGCACACTGCCACTGGACTCTGGAGCTGTGGAAACATATTCTGTGGAGTGACAAATCATGTTTCTGGCAGTCTGCTGGATGAGTCTGGGTTTGGTGAATGCCAGGAGAACGTTACCTGCCTGACTGCATTGTGCGAAGTGTAAAGTTTGGTGGAGGAGGGATAATGCTATGGGGTTGTTTTTCAGGTTGGCCTAGGCCCCTTAGTTCTGTTCCAGTGAAGGGAAATCTTAATGCTTCAGCATAGCAAGACAATTTGGGCAATTGTATGCTTCCACTTTGGCGGGAACAATTTGGGGAAGGCCCTTTTTTGTTCCAGCATGACTGTGCCCCAGTGCATAAAGCAAGGACCATAAAGGCATGGTTGTGTGAGTTTGGTGTGGAAGAACTTGACTGGCCTGCACAGAGCCCTGACCTAAACCCCAATGAACATCTTTAGTATGAATTAGAATGGAGATTGCGAGCCAGGCCCTCTTGTCCAACATCAGTGTCTGACCTCACAAATGCTCTTCTGGATGAATGGGCAAAAATTCCCACAGACACACTTCAAAATCTTGTAGAAAGCTTTTGGAAAGGTTCAGAAAGCAGGGAGCAACTTCATGTTAATGCCTATTGATTTAGAATGAGATGTCATAAAAGCTCTTGTAGCTGTAATGTGTAGGTGTCCCAATACTTTTGTCCATATAGTGTATTTAGAATGCATTAATTTATTGTTTGACATTTCCCCTGTTCATAGTTTATTGCACTGCTGTTTTGTTGGTGCACTTTGCCAGTTCCAACTTGCTCACTTAAAAAAAAATGGAATATTGTGATGCATATTGTGTGTTGTGAAAATGTATTCTAGTATTGTAAAGTTATATTTTTGCCATATCATCCACCTTTACTCTGTGGTCGGAAACTAGGCTAGAGGATGGCTAACACAAACTCTGCATCAAGAGATGGGCCAGGGTATCTAACTGTACAGCAGCGAGGTGGAGCTACAGGAGAGGGGTTTCTAATAAAGTGGCCAAAGAACATGAATGTTTGTGCAGATGTTTTAGTTAACCTTTGTAATAAACATGTATTTTTTGTATCTACAGGCTCTTCAACAACAGAATCACAGATAAAAAGCCCTTTCTAAAAGATAAACGCTTTGGGGTCTGGTGATGACTGTCGACCACTAAGCTCTGAACAGATCGCAAGAAATGCACTGATAGGTTTTCAGACTTTTCCATTTTAAGTACATTGTTCTATTCCGAAAGATCTGTGAGAAATTGGGCAGTAATTGTATTTTGTCTCTTCTCAATCAGAATGTTTATTGCTGATTAATTTTAGTGAAATTTGTTATGATTGTGTTGTTAAGAATGGTACATAGAAAGTGCTTCACAGTTTGAACATCTTTCATGTTTTGTCTTGAAACACTTGCTTGTGTAAATGATGTTTGGTGTTGATGTTTTATCTGTATTGTTCCTCCTGAGGTGAGAACCCCAGAACCCAAACCCCCTTTACCTTCTTCCCCTACCTTTGCTCCCTCCCCTGACCCCCAGTATCTCTACTTAAACCTTGTCAGACTATGTTCATTGGACTGGTGACAAACTGATGAGCAAGCTGTGCCCATGCATGATTCTCAGCATGCATGTGAATAAAACTTGGAATCTGTTCTAGTCTCCTGACTATTCCTGCTGAAATTTCTAGCACTATGTACTAGGGGTGGGGGAAAAATTCTTAGACGCATCGCGATGCAGACGTGAATGATTCTGAATCGATTCACAAATGTCAAAAACGTTATTCTAAATTTTAGTTGATAATGTAATGTTGATGGAACAGAGAAGGCGGAACTTGGAAGTGTGGAAGTGCAGCACCCTGACAGTCTGTGGTGGCACATAACAAAGACACAAATGGATGAGCGAGAAATCCGATCGACACCCTCTACATTCAAAGCTAGGTCAGGGGTCGGCAACACAAGTATTAAGAAGAGCCATTTTGTCCTTTCAACAAAAATCAAAAACCTTGGGAGCCACAACATTTTATGTCCAATACGTCTCAGCTAATGTCCTAGTATAAACGAAAACACAGACTTTGCTCTGTTTTAAGCTTTTGCTCAGCTATAACTGCTTTCCTCCCTTTTCCTCTGACAGGACACTTTTCTTCAAAAGCAGAATAGTTTCTTGTAAAATGTCTCTCAACATTCGACTTTTTATGAGGCTGAAGTCAGTTTCTCATTCGCCTGCTTCTTGTTCGAATTTTCCCGTTCCACCTTAAATGGTGCCTGAGGCGCCAGAATGTAACTGCTGCACCATTTGAGGTGGAACGGGAAAATTTGAACAAGAAGCTGACTTCAGCTTCACAAATTTTTGGTGTTTGACAGTTTCTCATTGCAGATTAAATGTACCAGGAAACCAGCTGCAGTGCTTATAAATGCAAATAAGTCCATTTGTCTCCAAATGTTTGTCTTAAATCTTTCTTTAAGCCTTTTCGTTCGCTACTAGGTGAGATTGTCTGAATTGCTATGTGATCTGCAGTCTGCACACAGATGTTCAGGGTTATAGGGAGGTGAATTAGCAGCGTTTAAGACAATTTATTGTTAAAACAGTGTTAGAACGATCAGCAGAGCTTTCTTTTACTGCAAAGGAGGATTATTTTATTTTCCCTAAAATTCTAATTCTGCTGTGGAGCCACAACAGGCTAGTAAAAGAGCTGTATGTTGCTGACCCCTGAGCTAGCGTATGGAAGCACTTTGGCTACTATAAAGTTGAAGGGAAAAAGGACCTGGACAGGAGCCATACTACATGCAGGTTGTTTCACACTAAAATATTTTGGAAACAACAAACATGAGAAACCATATTACATGTTTCCATCTGTTTTTCACCTGTTTGTAGTTGCTGCCAACCAGAGGACCATCAAGCTAGCGATGTCAGAGCTTCCAACCAACTCGGAAAGGGCGAAGTGAATTACAAACTCTACCGCAACTTTTATTGCCAAGGATTTGCATCCGTACTCAGTCGTTGAGAATCTGGGCTTTTGTGCTCTGTGGGACACTTTGGGGCTGACTAGAATGTCTAGTAATAGTGTCAGTCCTGTAAGGTAAGGATTACACCAATCTCTTGAGATTTCACCTGCTGTATTCTCAACACATTAGAAAATTATGATTCGGGTCTGGTGATGTTGCTGGTTAGTTAAACTGTCCCAGTGTTCCATCATGTCTGTCGAACTAGCCACATAGAGTCACCCTACAGCCGGCATCCTGGAATGTGGGAGTGTCAGTGTTGTGTTCTGCTCGTATATGAAGCACAAATTCAGTGGAAGAGTGGGATAAAATGGACAGGAATTATCTCAAGAGACTGGTGTTATGCCTACTTGAAAGGATTGCCACTGTCAAAAAAGGCTATTTGAAGCTTAAATGTTACAGAAGAAATGATGCACGCAACAAATT